CGAGGAGTTTCCCAGCGATTTCAACGGGATGCAATTCCCAAGCGTGGGGAGTATGGAACTGAATCTTGATGTGTTCTTGGCTCCGGATGACTTCCTATGGGGTTTCTGAAGTGGACTGAAGGAAGAAGCCTTGATAGATGAAGACAGCGGGACTATTTTATTTTGCCATAAGATTTTCCTTTCCTTTTCTTTTCCTCTTATTCTTTGGATGGACCAGATTTTGTAAGGTCATCATCCACTTGAGGATGATACAGACAACAAAAACTGACTTTTAGGGTGTAAATAGACGTAGCTTTTGTTGTTCGGCTCATTCCTTCAATTGATTACAATTGAAAGCGGAAAGATGATATTAATTTTGTTGGTAAAGTGTGCGGACTGTGAAGTTATTACAATTATTTCAGCTGTGTAAACCATATTGACACTTGAAACAGCAAATCAAAAATCGCGCGGATAAACATCGAATCGAAAGTGATGTCCAATTCGTAACGAGCAAGTTTGATTGTCCGAGGAAAGTTTCTCGCCATCTCCTTTCGGTCATAAACAACCAAGGAAAGTCTAGTCGCGTGATAATCAAGACTAGGCAAGGAACCTCGGTACGCCGCTTGCTACTCGCAAGGGATGGCGACCACAAATCGCATATGCGTATTTTTCTCATTTTGGCCTGGTTTTATCATGAGATTTACATGCAAGTCTACGAGCCAAGCGTAAGAGATAGTCTATAATGAATTGTATGCGGCTCGCATGATGCAGGCTTGAGAGGTATCGCTCGACTATAAACTCTTACCTTGCTCGATGAACTTTTTCTTCGGAAAATATAAAAACCTAGTCATCTGCTTGTTGTGATTATTGTGTAGATCGACCCTAAGACAACAGTGGATGTATGAGATCCAACATTCAGGAATAAACTCATAGTATTTGCCTCATGTCATGGATTGCAATGTCAGTTGACATATTGACATATGAAATTGTCTCACATATACTTTGTGCTTAACATCGGCATACAAGCATATTGATGGACAGAAAATATTCCAAAACTCAAAATCTCACGCTAAAGTTACTCTTGATTCAACTCAATATGACTCTTGCCGATCTTGATAACACTTTGTCCAGATGTGCGATGAATCTTACATTATAATGTGTTCACTACATAACTATTCGTGCTCGCTGTTCCTATTGTGAACGGCTTGAAACTTCACTCGAAGAGGACCACCGCTCATTTCTCAAACATAATCTGTGTTTTTCCTACCATTTCCTATGGATGATCTTGGGACAAGTACATGACAAAGAAAAAATGAACAAACTATGACCAAATAGACATGGTTAATTCCAAAAAAAAGCACCAATTTTATATCGAGGGACAATTCTGGCTTGAACTTTTTTTTGTTCCGTAAAAAAGTACCAACTTTAGGTCGAGTGACAATTTTGGTCAAAACTTTTTTTTGTCCCGTAAAAAAGCATCAACTTTAGGTCGAGTGACAATTTTAACCCGAACTTTTTTTTATCTCATAAAAAATCACAAACTTTCACTTTGATCCCAAATCTAGCCCCCCCATTGACTTTCTGTCTGAATTCACCCTTGTTTGAGAAAAAAGGTTATGGTGGTGAACCTGACGAATCTCATCCATGGCGTTTGTCGACGGGCAGTGGTCTACAGCTTCAGATTATGACAAGACGATGAAGTCTAGTCAGAGAGATTCAATCTGGAGATATTTTTGATTTGTCGGTGAAGTGAAGGAGGCGAACAGTTTTAACATTATTCTTCAAGCTGTGGCTTAGAGAATAAGACAATGAACGGTACTTTAAATCAAGTCAGCAAGTCACATGGATTTATTGCTAAAGTGGAACAGTGAAGTTGCATAATCAATGGTTTTAAGTTAACGGGGGCCCAGATTTGGGATCAGGGTGAAAGTTGGTGTTTTTTTAAGAGACAAAAAAAAGTTGGGGCTAGAATTGTCAGTTGACCTAAAGTTTATGCTTTTTTACGGAACAAAAAAAAGTTCGGATTAGAATTGTCTCTCGACCTAAAGTTAGTGCTTTTTTACGGGACAAAAAAAAAGTTCAGGCCAAAATTTTCCCTCAACCTAAAGTTGGTATTTTTTTTTTTTGGAATTAACCCCAAATAGACAGAACCGACCACAAGGTGTATTGCAAATAAAAATGACCACAATCCTTGCATTGGATTGTCGCAGTTTGTCAAGCATTTGTTAGATGTTTATTGACCATTGTAATCGCACATGCTGGTGCATGCTTTGGCATGACAGGACGAAAGGCTAGAAGGACCTCAATGCTCTAACCGGTGATCGATGCCTTTGCCCATGCTCTCAATTCCACCAGCACTGAGGCCCCGTTTGGTTTGGATTTGGGGAAATATCCATGGGAAATGCAAAGACTTTTGGGCCAAAAGGATTTTTAAAAATGCAAACAGTGTTTGATAAAGTGTATTTTAAAAACACATTGGGAAGCAACTTTGGCATAAATGCTATTTGGTAAAAACTACACTTTGTAAGGGACTTTTGCTAATTTCTTTTAAAAAAAATCTCAAACTATTTTCCTATGGAATTCAATTGCTGGCGAGCCAAATCTGCCGCTGGCTAGTCTCTCTTGAGGTCGGGCGACCTTAGGCGAGGGTGGCGGTGGCTCGTTGGTGGCTCATTGGCCGCTTGTCGATAGCTGAGGCCTTCTCTAGCAAATTAGGGTTTTCAAGGACATTTCCCAAATTCTGAAAGTTGAGCGATGGCAAAGTTTGAAGAAAAAAAAGTTTATTTGCATTCCAAGAATGCTACTTTCCAAAGTACCTCCGAATTTGTCTTGGGCTGAAGGCTTTTGTAAATGCAATTGCATTTCCCTAAAGTTCTCCAAAAAACGAACCACGAGTCTTTTCCTGGAGGAGGCCCGAAATGGGTTTAAACTGACATCAACCTCACGAGTTGATGATAGTCTTCCCCGGTAATTTACATGCAAAAGTATGATTTGTATATAAAAATTAGGCAATTTTTGGAAAGAAGAAATGGGCCTTAATGAGGTAATTGCGGTGCGTGTGGCACTAAAGATGAAAGAACGTTATAATGTCGTGATTGCCATCGTTCCAGAGACCTGAACTCCCTCCGAGTTTCATATTCTCCTAACGCAAGAATCAGGATAAAGCAGCTTCTTGTCCTGGCCATTGAATCCAATCTTCATGAGCGGATTGACAAGTTGTTTACAAATGATTGCAAGTCTGGGAACAATTCTGAAGTGATAAAAGCTCAACTGCTGACCCTGATTCTGCTCAGTTTCAGCTGTTCTTACCTTATAAAACCATGGTTTTGCCGACAAATACCCCGCAGCAAATAAACGAGAGATGTGAACCGAGCCTCCCGCAAAGTGGGAGACAAATCATAGATGCGCCAAGACTCGGCCATTTATAAGGGAAGTAGTTATTCATCTATCATGAAATGGGTGGACGACTGAACTGCCAAAATTTGCTGTGAGGAAGTGCGGGTCTTGAACAAACTCTAGAGGAAATCGTTAGCAAGAAAACTTTCCTTTTTACCTGCCCATTCCCGTCATCCCCTTTTTGTTTTTAATTAGTTCAATAGCAATAGCAGACATTAATGTTGCGAGACTTTAGGATGGTGAAGGCTTCGGAAAAAACGTGGATGTAAAATTCGCAGGACAAGTTTTGACGCATATTCTATACTCGGGGTTGGTTAGTCGTTGCATAGCAATCACCAATTTCTCAAGAGAAAAGCACCGAGGCCAATAGAGAAATTAAAAATCAACAATTTGGATCACTTCCGGAGAAACAAAAAATATTTAGTTCAATAGTAATTCAGCTATTTACGTATTTTCGGCTACGCTCAAAGGAGCGTTCCATGGTTATAATGGACGACGTACAGTTCATGGTAATGATTGCGACATGAGACATTTTTAGGTGCATCGGATGCCTGTGAGTTCAGTAAATTTCAATTTTTAAATCATGTGAGTTCCTAACGAGACTCATACTGACGGTGATGTACTTTTTTTCACTTACCAAAGCTGAATTTAGGCACAGAATTGATTCTGATGAGTATGGTGACGCAGCCATTTTTATTTTTTCCTTTGAAGAAGACTTAAGACGTTGCTTTGTTTCCAGGAAGCCAGCAATTCCAGGGTTTTCATGACCTTTCTTGGCTTTTCTGTTGGACTAAACAATGGCTGGCTTACCATCGTTGGCTCGTGCTTATCACACTTACTTACTTACTTACATACTAATATCACAGAAAAGGCATGTGGTGTTGCCTGGTCCAGCCCTAACTGGCCTACCATTTTCTCCTAATCCTAATCCTAAATTTAGGATTAGGACAAAGATTTCAGGATTTGGTGCCTCATTTGGCAATTATCTCAACACTTGAACTAAATTTGCCCACATCATCACCAAAACAACCTTATGCATATTCCAATTCCGGAGATTGTATATCAGTGACCGTATAGAACTGAATAAGAAGAAAAAGGAATTACCTATAGTAATTTTCATATTTGTCTAGACGATCGATTCCGTCTCATGTTAAGACACATTTATTTGAACTTTGTCATAGGGAAAAATCCAATAATTTCCCCGAAATACACACGTCAAGCACGTGCCGCCATTTGGGGAGAATTTCAGTGCACGGGAAAACGTCTCGAGTTAGAGACACGTAACGCGCATGGAAGCTTAGAGTTACTAATATAATGCCTCCGAAGCCGATAATTCATATGGCTGCTTTAAACCGAACATTTCAGCTAGTCCCACCATTTTATTTTTATTTTTATTTTTATTTTTATTTTTATTTTTACTTTTTTGTAGATTTGAGACCTGTCCTGACTCCGCCCCAAGCAAAGGGTCAACCGCGTAAATTGAACAAGACAAGACACAATCTGCTGAAGTCATCCCACGCGTGGCACTGTGTTCCATTTTCGTGTACTTTGAAGTTCTAGAAGAACAGAGCACGTTTGGCCCCTCCCCCACGCACACACTGCACTGGACACAGCTCGCTCTCTTTCCTCATCTGTCTGCAGAGAGACCTATATAAAGAGCCGCAAAATGCTTCCTTGTCTCAAGCATCTGAGCCTCAACACCAGAAACGAGCAATCATATGCGCACACACGCAAAAAACAAGTCAACCCAGATCCTAAAGATCGAATCTTGACTTGAGGAAGGAAGGAAGAAGAAATGGTGATGCGCAGCGCGGCGGCGGCGGGTCTCGCGGTGCGCAGGGGCTCGGGAGCGAGGAGCGACCCGAAGTTCAGGGGGGTGAGGCAGAGGAGGTGGGGCAAGTGGGTCTCCGAGATCCGCTTCCCCAACAGCCCCCAGAGGCTCTGGCTCGGCTCCTACGACTCACCGGTGAAGGCTGCCCGCGCCTTCGACGCCGCGCTCTTCTGCATCCGTGGCCCCACCGCGAATTTCAACTTCCCGGACAGCCCCCCAGAGATCCCCGGCGGCGGGTCCCTCACGCCCCCGGAGATCAAGGCGGCCGCGGCGTGGTACGCCGAGTCGGGGCCCATGCCGGCCTGGCTCGAGCTGCCCGGATCCGCATCGCTGGCCCCGCCGCCTTCGCCGTCTGTTTCGGAGGCGAGCAGCGTCCTGACGATCGAGAACGACCTGTACTTGGACGTATCATCCTCGGATCTTTCGGCGGGTCCAGAGCCGGGTTCCGGCGAGCTCGATCTCGGGGAGTTCCCGGGCATCGAGGAGTGTCCCAGCGATTTCAACGGGATGCAATTCCCAAGTTTGGGGAGTTTGGATCTGAATCTTGATGTGTCCTTGGCTCTGGATTTCTTCTTCCTGTGGGGTTTCTGAAGTGGACGGAAGGAAGAAGCCTTGATAGATGAAGATAGCGGATTATTTTATTTTGCCATAAGATTTTCCTTTTCTTTTCTTTTCCTTTTGTTCTTGGGATGGACCAGATTTTGTAGGGTCATCATCCTAGTCTTTAGGATGATACAGACAACAAAAGCTGACTTTTGGGGTGTAAATTGACGTAGCTTTTGTTGTTTTGGTTCATTCCTTCATCGGATTTCAATTGAAAGCGGAAAGTTGATATTGATTCTGTTGGTAAAGTTTGTGGACTGTGATGTTATTCCAATTATTTCAGCTGTATGACCATCTTGACACTTGAACAACATACAGCAGATCAAAATTACGCGAATAAGCATCGAATCGAAAGTGATATTCAGACTCGTAACGAGCAAGTTGGATTGTCCGAGGAAAGTTTCTTGCTATCTCCTTACAATCATCAACAAACGAGAAAAGTCCAGTCGTGTGTTAATCAAGACTGGGCAGGGAACCATGATATACCGATTGCTACTCGCAAGGGATGGCGACCATGACTGGCGTATGCATGCTTTTCTCATTTTGGCTGGTTTTTTCATGAGATTTACATGCAAGTCTACGAGCCAAGCGTAAGGGATAGTCTATAATGAATTGTAAGTGGCTTGCCTGAGGCTGGCTCGATAGGAATTGCTCGACTGTAAACTGTAGTCTTGCTCGTTGATCTTATTCTTTGGGAAATTTAAAAAACCTCGAGTCGAACGCTTGTAGCAATTATTGTGTAGATCAACCCTAAAACAACAATGGATGTATGAGATCCAACATCCTAGAATCAACTCAATGGATTTGCCTCATATGAAGGATTGTAATGTCAGTTGACATACGAAACTGTCTCCCAAATACTTTGTGCTTATCATCGGCAGACGAGCAAATTGATAAACAGAAAATATTCCAAAACTCAAAAGCTCACGCTAAAGTTACTCCCGATTCAACACAACATGACTCTTGTTGATCTTGATAACGCTTTGTGTTGATAAATGATGAATCTTACTACATTATAATGTGTTTATTACATAATTATTCGTGCTCGCTGTTCTTATTGCGAATGACCTGAAACTTGACTCGGAGAGGACCGCCGCCCATTTCACAAACAGAATCAGTGTTTTTTCTACCATTTCCTATGAATGGTCTCGGGGCAAGTACATGACAAATAAAACATGAACATACGACCACAATAGACAGAACCGACCACAAGGTGTATTGCAAATAAAAATGACCACAATCCTTGCATTGGACTGTCGCAGTTTGTCAAGCATTTGTTAGATGTGTATTGACCATGGTAATCGCACACGTTGGTGCATGCTTTGGCATGACAGGACGGAAGACCAGAAGGACCTCAATGCTCTAACCGGTGACCGACGCCTTTGCCCATGCTCTCAATTCCATCAGCACTGAGTCTTTTCCTGGAGGAAGCCTGAAATAGGTTTAAATTGACAGCAACCTCATGTGTTGATGATAGTCTTCCCTGGTAATTTACATGCAAAAGTATGATTTGTCTACAAGAATTGAGACTTTTTTGGTAAGAAGAGAGGTGATTGCGGTGCGTCGCACTAAAGATGAATACATTATAACATCATGATTTTCATTGATCCAGAGACCTGAACTCCCTCCAAGTTTGATATTCTCCTAATACAAGAACGGGATTATGCAGCTTCTTGTCTTGGCCATTGAATCCAATCTTCATGAGGGGACCGACAAGTTATTTCCAAATGAATGCAAATCAGGGAACAATTCTGAAGTGACAAAAGCTCAACTGCTGATACTGATTTTGCTCAGTTTCAACTGTTCTTACCTTATAAAACAACGGTTTTGCCGACAAATCCCTCGCAGCATATTAATGAGAGATCTGAACCAAGCCGCCCGCAAAGTAAGAGATGAAAACATCAATGCGCCAAGACTTAGCCATTTACAAGGAAAGTAGTTATTCATCTATCATGACATCGTTGGACGACTGAACTGCCAAAATTTGCTATGAGAAAGTGTGGCTCTTGAACAAAATCTAGAGGAATTCGTTAGCAAGAAAACTTTCCCTTTACCAGCTTCAGTAGTGTTAATGACATTCCAATGCGATTGCCGGGTTATAAACTAGTTGACTAAATCATTCATTTTCATCTGGTTACAGAAGGTGAGATGACGAACTATTGGTAATATGTTTGAAGGGCAACATACAAGTACTTCTCCGCTTTTGCTAGGTTATAAACTCCGGTATTACAACCTTAAACAATGCTAACAGAAGAAGCCGGTACTAAGTACTAGCTGTCTTGATGCGAGTCGGTTTTTGCATCCATATCTCGCCTAAAGTATTGGTATGGTGACGTAGCTATTTTTATTTTTTTCCTTTGAAGAAGACTTGCCACTCGCTTTGTTTCCAGGAAGCCAGCAATTCCAGGGTTTCATGACCTTCCTTGGTATATTTGGTTGGACTGAAAAATGGCTGGCTTCCCATCTGCGGCTTGTGCTTATCACGCTACTTTACTAATCAGATGACAACTGCTGATCCCACAGAAAAGGCATGTCTTGTTGCCTGGTCCAGCCCAAGCTGAAGCTGGCCTACCATCTTCTCCTAATCTTAATCTTAATCTCGGATTAGGACAAAGATTTCGAGATTTGGTACCTCATTTGGCAATTATTTCGACACTTGAACCAAATTTGCCCACGTCATCACCCAAAGAACTGAACGAAAAGAAAAAAGAATTATTTATTGTAATTTTTGGATTTGTCAAGAACATCGATTTGTCTTATATTAAGAGAAAACACATTTATTCAAACTTTATAATATGGAAAAACTCGATATTTTCCCCGAAATATGTATGTTAAGCTGTGCATGAAACCCATGTATTGGAAACCGCCACAATATGATCGAGCTTACAGGATTTTGGTCAAGGATCCCCCTGCCAAACACGCGCCAATTTTTGGGAGAATGTCTCGCGTTGGCTTGACTAATGTTCCTACTATTTGGAGTTCTTGGTCAAAAAAGAAAGAAAGACTCGAGAGGCGTAGCGCGCCTGGAAGCTTAGGGTTCTATTTACAGAAAAAAAAAACACTTCGAGTTTATTTATTTATTTTCCATCGAAAGAAACTCCGCAAAGCCATGCGACATCACATCGTAATAACTCACAAGTTACTATTGTAATGCCTCCCAAGTCGATGCTTCATATGGCCACTTTAAACCGAACATTTCAGTGGCAAGCTCGACATGTCCCAACCCTGATCTCAAGTCGATAAAAAAACATAAAGATTCACGATAAACATTAGGTTCCTACAGATTATATCATGTTATGATTCATGTTTTGTCTCTTTATTCGGTTTCCGGTGGTCTTCGCACGCGAAACCCGGACTGCCTTTTCAACATGTCCAACGTTAAAACCGCTCAATAGTCTCAGTTAGTGAACAAAGCACGTGAAATCTTCTGATGCAAATCTCCAATCTGTAAATTCAAGCTCTTTCACCCGTGTTGAGCTTGGCGTACTTGTTGAGATACACGTGTGAGTTGTGTTAGAAAAATCCCACATCGGATAATTGATGTGGTGTTGAGCATTTAATATATCATAATTGGCCCATAACTCATTGGCTTAAGCTTTTGTGTGAAGGTGGGTCCAACTGGATATGTTGACAGGTTCGTACTTGAGCTTCCTCTTGGCGATCTTCCCATGTGAAGGTATCGGGCTTCTACTGCGCATTTCCAACAAATGGTATCAGAGCCAATGGCTGATTGGTGGGCCTTCAATCTGTTCAGGTGTTTGGTGAATATCTCAACAAAGAATTAACGTTTGTTTTGGGTGGAAATTGCCATCACGGTTGGTCTGACGAGAAATGACCATGGACGGTTGGTCTGGCGAGAAGTGACCATGGACAGTTGGTTTGGTTAGGGGTGAGCATGGTTCAAGTGGGTGGTTCTCACCCTAAAATCGAGAACCGCTCACTAAGGACCGGTTCCGAAAAATTGGAACCGGGAACTGCCCGTTGGTTCCATGGATCCACCCGAGAACCAGACTGTCGGTCCAGTCCGGTTCCTGGGTGGGTCCATGGAACTGATCCCACTAGCTAAGAACGGAGATGGAAAGTCGAAGACGGTGAGGTAAGCATCAACCGAGAAGAGTGAGAGAATGAGAGTGAGCGTGAGGTGAAAGTGAAAGAAGGTGTTTTTCGGCTCAATGTGAGGCTGTAAACGTCGAGCAAGTTAGGTTTAGTTTAGGGATTTAGGATTTTTTTTTAAAAAAAAATTAAAAATTAAATAAATATTTTATATTTTATATTATATTATCGGTTCGGTCCGGGTGGGCAAATGGGCGGGTGTTTCCATGCCTGGAACAGGGAACCGGATCGATACCCACTGGTTCTCAAAAATTAGAAGTGGGAACCGGACTGATTCCCTTAGGAACTGCCGGTTCTAGTCTAGTTCCGGGCGGTTTCGGGCGGTCCGGGTGGTTCCCTGTTCTTTTGCACACCCCTAGGTTTGGTGACGCGAGATAGAGAACATGGGTGATATAATCCTAAGTTAGCAATTAATGATGGTTATTGTGCATAGTTGCAGGTGCATTGCAATGACTTGTAAATTCAAGTTGAAATAAGTTTATGCAAAATAATACCTAAATTAAGGATGAGCAAACCTAACACTAAGATCGCACGTGAGGGGAGATTGTTGATATACATGTGTGAGTTGTGTTAGAGAAGTCTCACATCGGATAATTGATGTAGTGTTGAATAGTTAATATATCCTAGTTGGCCCATAACTCATTGGTTTAAGCTTTTGAGTAAATGTTGGTTCAACTGGATATATTGACGGGCTCAAACTTGAGTTCCTTCTTGGCGATCTCTCCATGTGAAGATATCGAGTTTCTGCTGCGCATTCCCAACAGTATTGTACCCCAGCTTTCTCCAAGTCAATATGGCTAGTTGAAACCTTATTCTTGGACCGGCAATCGGATAACGCCCTAACCCTTTCGGATCCGCACAAATCCGCTATTGCCCACGTTCATGACCCGCAAATGGTATTATGACGAGAAAACACAGCAAAAGTTCACATCCAGGTGCACGTAGTCCACATCTTCACAAAGTTTAGTAACACTAATTAGTCTGACTTGGAGGCTTGCAAGGAAAAAGGAACGTACATTATTGGCCAGCATCAATAAGCCCACCGTGGCCAATCCCCTGACAGAGGCCCTGTCAAAGGCCGTGCC